CCTAGTTTCTACAAAACATAGGTGCTCTGTTAAAAAATACAGCGATTCATTTGACCAAGCTATCTATTTATATCTCCCTTAACATCGCTGACACTCTAAGATTCCAGCTCTCAAGCAGATCCCAAGTAAAAGCGCACTAAATAGAAAAGTACATGCTGAAATTATGCTGCGCAGATGATCCAACCATGTTTTTTTTTTTTTCAGAAAGAGATTCAGAGAACTATAAAGCACAGAATTCCCTCAGAATATATAGACCTTCCTTTTTTCCCCTTAAACCAACATCCATATAAACCTAATAATTTAAACAAAGCTAAAATGAAGGAATAAAAACCCAAGTATTACTGTCCTGTAGTTTTTAGAAAAATCGATTTCCAAATTATCTTTTTTGCCACCAGCCTCTCAAACAATTTATAAAACCTCTCCAAAACATACAGAGAATCCACAAAAGCTGAGCACAGTGGCACACACCTGTAATTCCAGTAACTCAGGAGGCTGAGGCAGGAGGATTGCAAGTTTGAGAGAGCCTCAGCAACTTAGGCTCAAAGCAATTTAGTGAGACTATGTCTCAAAATAAACATAAATAAATAAATAAAAAGTGTTGCTCAGTGGCAAAGTACCCTTGTACCATTAAAAATAACAAGAACAAAAAGAGAACTGACAAGAATGACAATCAGTGTTGTGTGCCAATCGATTTAATATTCTGTTTCATAAAGTGGGAACAACAGACTTACTGAAAAGAGAAATTCTGGTCTTTATCATCAGTCTCAAATTATACAGAAATGAACTGTAATATATATTTATGTTACTTAAGAAATTTTATGTCTTTAAGAAATAGAGGAAGCCTCTTCATCTCTTCAAGTTTTGGGTTCCTCATCTGAGAATTGAGGATGCTATTCTAAGATGAACTTTGGGAAAGGGGAGAGTCACCACCAGTGGAACTATTCATAAATATTTATTTAAATATATAAATATTTCAAATATTTCATTTTAGCAGTTTTTTTTTTTTTTTTTTGTACCAGGGATTGAACCCAGGGGCACTTAAATACTGAGCCACATCCTCAGTCTATTTTTATTTTGACACAGGGTCTTGCTAAGTTATTGAGACTGACTTTAAACTTGCAATCCTCCTGCCTCAGCATCCCAAGCTGCTGGGATCACAGGTGTGCGCCATCGCACCTGGCCCAATTCTTTCTTTCTTCCTTTCTTTTTTTAAATTCTGAGACAAGGTTTTGCTAAATTACTGAGATTACAAGTATGCATCACTGCACCCACAGTAAACTGCTTTTAATTGGAATAACATAGCCTGCAATCTCTGTTTCTAGCTTTAATAGTAAGAAAAGGATGGGCAGGAACAACCACTGATGACAACTTTGTCAACATTTTAAAATTTCAAAGACCAAGGAAGGAAAAATATTGTACTCTAGACTTTGTATTCAGTTTAATCTGAATAAAAGAGAAGATCCGGATTATTTTAATATTGTGGAGCTGTGTACTTAGAACAATCACTAAATCACTTTTTTTTTTTAATCACAAAATCACCTTCATATGTTTGGCCTATTTTAAGCTTTCTCAGTCCAAAGCTGACCCAAGCAGCTCCAATATTGATGTAATTAATTCCTCTCTCCAAAGCAGATCAAGTCTATTGGAGCTAAAAACAAAATCAAAAACAAAACAAAAAACTTCCCAAAGGCTTTAAAGCCATTTTACAGATAGGAAAACCAAGGCAAAGGGCTATTAAAGGCCTCTTTCTAGATGGATCACAAGCCAGGGTGTAATTAATGTTCTTCAAATCTCCTTTTCCTTCCACCACAGCTCATGCCTCCCTTAATTTCCCAACTCTTAACAACAGTAGTAAATGACAGCTGAAGAAAAAAAAAAAAAAGTCCGATGTAACTGTTACATTACTTTTAAAATCAGATTCATAGCAAATAGAAAGCAAAAACTAAAAACAGGGCCATGATCTCTCGGTAATCAACGGTTCTTATACTGCAAATAAATGAGAGCACAAAAAAGTTTCCGCTAAATTTGCAGTGCCTATTTGTTCTTTTTATGGTCTATAAAATCTATCCGAGCATACATTTACTTATGATTATCATAAAATATCAAAAGTAAGAATGCCTTGGAAATATAGATGCAACTGTTCAGAAGGGAAAAGAAGCAGACTTTAGACTCCTGGCTCCCTTTCCTTTCTTCATCCCCAACCTCACTCTCAAACTTTCCATTTTTCATAGCATATATATAGGTGCTGATTGCTATGAGAAATCACAAGCAAAATAGAACTGCTTCTTCAGAGAAGGTTTCTAACAGCCTTTTGTTATAAAGATTATTGGATGGAGAAGGGCCACCTAGAGAGAAAAGTGCTTTTAGGTCAGCATTTTCAGCTCCATCTCAGGCTTCTGTATAATGACTAATTTGTAGCATACACCCAGAAATATCCAGGCTTCATGAATTTATAATGACAATGCACACTTTGCCTGTTACAGGCGGTAAAGTAAACCTCCTGTCAAAATGCCAAGACAATGCAGAGTAGAAACAATCTCAAGGATGTAGCCACGAAGGCCCTGAAGTGTATGAGTAAGCAAGTAACTTCCATATTGGATCTCCATTTAGGAACTGCAGAGGTTTGCTAAAAATAAATACACACGTTATGTATATGTAAGTAAATAAATGAAAGCTATTTCTCAAGGGCAGAATTTTTAATTTGCAGTTACAGATTTCTTCATTTTGGGGTCAAATCATCTACAATCAGTGTGATAGTATTTTCATGCCAGTTACTGAAAGTGCTAAAGGACTTATAGGTCTAGTGCTTTCATTTTATTATTTTTTAATGAATCAGACATAAAGGCCTCTCACCATTCAAGACAGTTTCCTTAATGTCAGAACCGCATGTGCGAATCTGCAGCACAATCACCAGTTTATAATAAAAGAAAGGAGATATGCTGAAGCTGAATTGAGTGAACCATATGGGGTGCTGAGGCAAATGATATGGATCCAGACATAAAACATATGGTAGTCCATCTGCAAAGAGCACTGCTAGGCTTCCTACTATGGGAAACAACCCCTGCATTTCAATAACATTCTCTTCAAAGAGATCTCTCAAAAGGAGCCCTCTTTTCTATAACCAGATTAATTGTTTAATTCCAATAAATTGTCCATAGAAATTAAGCACCATAGCACTTGGAGTTGAATCTAATGGTGACTTTAGCAAGGGCACACTGAGATAATGATAGGAGCTTTATGTTCCAAATTCTTGAATTTCCCAAACCAATTTCATATGCCTTTCATAAGCCAGCATGGAAATCTTCAAGAACCACATTTGGATCCTGTCATAGGACCCTATGGCAACTATTGGAAACAATGTTCAAGAAGCCACAGGTTGGTGGGGGAGGGGTCCACCCTCCACTTCAGTTTCCATATAAAGAATGTATACTTTTGGCACTATGGGCACATACACCCCAACCCCATACACTTGCTTCCGAATATATCTTTTGGCACATTAAGAATTTTTCACAAAATTGCAATGCACATTAGTATTATTTCCTAAGGTGCTAAAGCTACTAATGAAAACAATCATTCCAAAATTCTCTACTACATTCTTTATTAAGACTTAAGTTTCCCCAAGTGACAGTATTAAAATGCAGCTACTACACCACAAAGGCAAAGTTAGGCAAACTAAATTAAGTCGTTTCCTTAAACCTTAAACATTGTTTTCCATTACTTAAAAATACCTCCCAGATTTTTAGAACCTCTGATTGTGCCTCAATAAATAAGTAAAAATTTCTGCGCGCAGTTGGGTGGCGTTAAGGTTCATGATTCTTCAATCAGCGCGTTGTGACTGCTGTTAACATAAACATAGGACAAAACATCCTAGGAGGAAAAGAAACTTATCAAATGTCCTGTTGTTCTCAAACTAAAATCTGCGTTTAAAATTTGAAATTAATATATAAAAATTCTTTGTGAATTCCTCATTTGTAAACAGCGTCTTGGATTTCAATGAAAACTCCCCCCCACACACACAAAGAAAAATGGGCATCACACGTTAGCAGGGTCCCTTGCAGGCTTACTTCCCTAAGAACTCATTCCTTAGGGCAGCCTCGACAGGGCAAACGCCGACCTCCAGAAGGCAGCATGCTATCTGTCAACCTCTCCTGGAACCCGAAAACACGCGGCTAGCCAGGAAGCACGAGTTTTGCAAGAGAGGCAAAACGCTGAATTAAAAGCAGCTTTGCTAAAACCGAAAGAAATCCCTGTTCAAATAAGTTTAAGTTTCTTCAAGATTAACCCCCAGGTTTTTAAACTCTGAAAATCTTTCCATCTGGTGGGCTTCCTTCGCCTCGCCGCCACCCCCAGCTCCAGAGAAGCAGTACAAGGCTCCTTGTTTCCACTTCGAGGCGGCGGCGGCGGAAACCTGATCCGAGCCTGACTTTCAGTAAACACCAATGCAGAGAGCAATAAAGCATCCGGAACATTTGTCTCGGGCGCACAGTCCCCGCCCGCTAAATCTTTGATAAGCTGCTCTAGGACGGGAGATTTATCAATGGTCCGAGACGGTGGCAGGGAGGGCAACGGAGAGAGGGCTTTCTCCGCGCCTGGGCGCGCCGCGAGCAGGGCCAAGGTGCGTGTACCGGGCTCGAGAGGCCTTTCCCGGAGCTCCACGCAGCCCTTCTGCCCCGGAGAGCGCTTTCAAGACTCAGGCTGTTGGAGAACAAAGCCCTCGGCCCGGGCCTGGTTCCCCCCCGCGCGCGTCGTACCTGCGTGGAGCAGCCCGAGGATGAGCAGCAGCAGTAGCAGCAGCGCCAGCGGCGGCGGGCAGAGCCGGGGGCGGCGGCGCTGCTCAGCCCCGGCGGCAGCGGCGGAGGCGGTGGCGGCGGCGCAGGAAGGTGCTGCTCTCAAGCCCATGCCCGTCCATGCAGGTCTCCTGGGCTCGGGCGAGGGCGGCGGTGCGGGCGCCGTGGCGGGTCCGGGCCCGTGGCTGCGGCATGGGCCGGGGAACACGCCTCGCTTCCTCTTCTTCCTCCTTCAGGCCAGCGTAGAAGATGGGCCGCCGCCACCGCCGCAGCAAGCGGCGCGCCGCAGGCGGAGCGAGTCGGCGGCGGCGGCAACGCGGAGCAAAAGCATCACGGTGGTCGGAGACAGCGGGCGAGAAGAGAGAGGCAGGAGAGAAGATACAAAGACCGTGAGCGAGTGCCGAGACCAGCCTGGAGAGCGCGAGCGCCCGGGCTGCGGCCAGCGTGGGCTCAGCGGGCGTGGAGTGCGGGCGTGGACCTACAGGAGGGGTACCAGCCCTTGCGAGCAGCAGCGGGCCGCCGGGATATCTGCACGGTGGCCAGAGCGGTCAATCAATCTCAGCTCCGCACTGCCGCCCCGCCCCACTCTGCACCCGCCAATCCGCTCTGCTCCATGCCCCCAGGCAGCACCCCTTTCTTCCCTTCCCATTGGCTGCGAGCGCGCGTCTGCCGGGCCCAGCCCGCCACTCTCAGGGCTCAAAGCGTCCGCCCCCGTTCTACCTCCGGCCTCTCGCCTCCCGCCCGCTGTGTGTAATTCGAGTTCCGCGTCCGCAGGCTGCGGGTCCTTTTTTCGGCTCCCTGGTCGGCTTCCCTCTTGCTCGGTTTTCCTTTCTCTCCTCTACCCACTTCCTCTATTTACTGTTTCCCTGCTCCCAAGTAGAACTGCTGACAGCCACTCTCCCTCTTGCTGGAGTTACAAGGGAACAGCCCTTAACCTCCCTTCGAATTAATGTGATCGGGTTCAGCTTCCTCCACGTTTTTGGTGGTTTGTTTTTAATCCCTCCCCACCCGATTCTTCCACGTCCTACCCCAGCCGATTCCAGCTTCAGATCCTGGGCTGAAGCCGGTTCTTTAATCTCGTGCTGTGCAGCAGGTCCCCTCTCAGTCAACAACACCTGCGGAACCTCTTAAGCTTGTTGAGGACGCTTGGTAAATCAAGCACCGAACCGAACCGCGTTGGAAATCTGCTCTGCGGTCAGAAGCAGATCAGATAGGCCAGGAAGGTACTGGCGAACTCCCGGGAATTAGCAGGCGACTGAGTGAAAAGCTTACAATGTTCTGGTTTCTTTGACATTTCCCTGCCTGGAAGCGGCGAGGAGGGTCTGAGAGTGGATGGACTTCAATGTGTGCGGTTACAGTGTAGTTAGATTAATGAGAATGGTGAGTTTTTATGCAGCATAATTATGTCACGTTTTGCTGTTGCTCAGTGGCTTTTTTCACACATTTTCAGTCTATTAGATTAATTCAACGAATGGTCAGTTTCTACTTTTTAGATTGGATGGGTCCAAAAATTAAGGAAATAAAAAAGGCCAGTGGTCTGCAAGGAAAGGGGGCTACCAAATGGAGACAGGAAAGCAATTGTGAGACTGATGATGGGATCCAATCTGTTATCAGTAGGTGTGAACTGCTATCTACTCTCAAGAATGACCTCAAGACTGGAGGCCACTTCATACTCTCTGACCTCTGCCTTTCCCTAAACCACGCAGGGCTGCCTTTTTAAATCCACTTACTGTACATCAAAATTGCAGTTTGCAACTCTACCCACTACATTACTCAGAATCTCTAATTAGGAATTTCATATCAACCACAGATATGCTAATATTCCACATATTACAGTGTGCTAATCAATGGACTAGGATAATTGGGGGGCAAACCTTAGGTCTCACCAGCTTACTCATTAGACACATTATGAGTTGCTCAAACCACTAGGTTCCTAATGAAGGATACCCATCTTTTTACTGTAACTTTTCATTACTTATTACATACTAAGATGACTCAAGTAGTAAACACACCTTTCACTACCCACAGTATAATCCAAACCTCGTATCTATCTTTAATATTTTAATGATAGCTTCAGAGCTGCCTGGAGAGATGGCTTTTAGTGGGACTTGGAGTTTCTAACATTTTTAGATAATATCATGGACTAAGTACTATTAGAGCAAAAATTAGTTTCTTGCAATTACTACATAAAATCCATGAAACACAGTTCACAAGATACTAGTAAATGTCTTTTTAAAAGTAATCATATATGGCACTTTGTTTTTGAAAGTGTTTCACTAAAAAGACACAATAAAATGTAGCCCCCCCCCCTTAACTCAAGATATTCCACTTTATTCACATGTCAAAACATATAACCAGCTTGGCTAATTCCAGCTACTGGGAGGCTGAGGCAGGAGTATCTCAAGTTGGAGGTTAGCCTCAGAAATATAGCTAGTCCATCAGCACCTTATTGAAACCGTCTCAAAATTTAAAAAAAAAAAAAATTTGATTTTTTTTTAAGGACTAGGTAAGTAACTCAGCGCTCCTGGGTTAATACCCCCCTCACCAAGTATAACCCAAAGTTAAGTATCAATAAATTCAATTTGATTTGGGTCTTGGGTCTTTCTGCTGGTGACTATGTTTGTCGTCCCCTGCCCCCTTTCTTCTTTTTTCCTTCCTGGCCCATCCTGTTTCTTAAATAACGGGGTGATCAAGATTTTCTTATCAATAGAGGGCGTCCTGGAGTCACTGCAAATCCTGATACCGCGAAACAACTGTTCTTCAGAGGAAAAACTTCATCTCCTCTAAGGTGCTTTATTGCTCCTCTGCTGTAAAATTTGACAAGCTCAAGATTTATAAGCCTAACAATTCACTTTTTATTGCTACATAAGTGTTCAGCCGCTAGAGGAAAATGCTAATTTTCACAATTAAACCACAAGGTGGTTCCTATTTTCAAGACATTAGGTCAGCTGACAAACTAGCGGGTAAATTTGGGCTGTTAGCAATACTTGGAATAGGTTTGCTGAAATAGTCGTTTATAGTGCAGCTACTCAAGCTCGTGTGCTTCAGGTTAAGGCTTTTTGTACTCTACAATGAAAAATCTGGGAAAGGAGCTGGAATACAAACATTTAATTGATGATTTGTAATAGTTTTATATTTTAATTAGGAAAAAAATTATGAGGTGATTGACAATTTGAACATCTGACACATCCACGCTGTTTCTTGCCACTCATACTTTCTCCCTTCGTCATTGTTTTCAGGAAGGAAAGATGAGACCAGAACATACTTTCAGGGGACCTAGCAAAGCATACCACGCATGAACGTGCAAATGGATAGAATTAAAACACACGAGAGAAACATTAAAGGACTCTAAACAAGATGCGGTTTCATTTCCTGAACTTAAACGTGACGTCTTAACTGTTCCCCAGTTACTACATCTCCATTTCCAGAAATCTAACAGGAGTATCTCGGTTTTCTTAATGGATCGCCTAGGGCAGAGGAACCAGGAATCAGACCCACAGTTGCGATTTATGCAACCTATTGTAGGGTAAGGGCTCCTCGGCTGCCTCCCGGTCCACTGTGTGCGAAAAGCAGTGGCTGAAATAGCCAAGTCCAAGAGCCCAGCGGCAAGCAGTTCGTGGTTTGTACTTACATCATTCTTAACCCTTCCGCTCCTGGAGAGGGCTCAGCGGGATCGGGGGGTCCCAGAGCTCCGGAACACGCAGGACCTGGGTGTGAGAGAAGAGTCCCAGAGCTCGAGGCGAGCGCTGAGACCTCGGTGGCAGAGAGCCCCGGGTGTGCAAGGGGTTCATCACCCGCGCGTACACAACCGGCCCTCTGCGATCCCTGTGGGCTCCGCCGCGGCTTGCACTGCTCAAAGCGGCAGGTGCAAAAAGCATTTGGAAGCCGCTTGCCAGCGCGCAGAGGTAATGCGCTTCCTGTCCATTTATCTCAGGAAACCAGCTCAGCCTTCCCTTCGAAACAAAATTAACCTCTCATTAGCCAGCCACGCACTCCCAAGAAAGCCTTAAAAGCTTTACCAGCTCACTAATGTATTTAGTCTTTTCTTCCAGGCAAACGCAGCCGCGGCCATGACTAACATCAGCCCCGGGGGTTCCTCTGGGCTGCCCCAGGAGCCTAGTGCCTACTTCTGTTTAGCCTGAAGTCTGGGAAACTCTGGCCAACCCGCATCCTAGTTCGTAGTAACAGGCAGACCCGACACCCCTGAACGTACTTCACGCCAGAAGCCTTCAGAGCAAGTTCTCACTAATTTCATGGGCGCCCTTCACCAAACCCTTAGTTTCACTGTCCTAAAGGAAACAGAAAGGGCACTTGGGAAGAACTTCAAAGGCCTGTTGTCCTCGGTTAGTGGGCGCTGACTGTCCATTGGAACGCCAGTCCTATCCGCAGTGGGTGCGGGAAACGTTGATGGAGGGCAAAGGGGCCGTGTAAGCTAGGGGAATCAAATGTGGTCCTAGGTCTGCAAGTGTCGAAAAGCGGCCTTTGGGAGAGCAGGGTTTTCTCACCGTGGCCCCCCGCTGCCCTGGGGCTGGCAGATTTATACCACACAGGTGGATGGAGACCTAAACAAAACAGTCCCGGTCGGTCGCTGCCTGCCACTCGCCCTCCACGTCCCCCTGGCCCACCGCAAACTTCAACAAAATAAACAACTCACCACAGGCATTCCCTTGTCTGCAGCGCGACGCTTGCCAGCTGGGAAAATAAGCCGCAAGCCACGCGGCTGAGGCGCAGAAGGAAGGCTGTGCGGCGCCCGCCCCTCTCCCCCCAGGTGGGGGGGGGGGTGGGCACCAGTACTGCCCGGCAGGAGGGAGGCCCCGCCCCAGGGCCGGCTCTCCCAGCTCCCCGACTCCAGAGTGAGAGATCCGCGAGGGGTCGCGCCCTTGCAGCCAGTGTGATCTCTCGGCCACCTAGGGGAGAGGGCGGGGAGCCAAATCCCTCCCGGTGCCCCAACTTCCCAAACTGCTTTCTTCCCAGTCCTGCCTCAAAGAGAGCCTGACAGAGCCCCCAGCTCTGGGCAACCTCTCGCGCCACTCCGCCCCCTGCTGGAGCTACCCTGATTGTTCTAATGGGATTGTCGGGTGGGAGTGTAGGGACAACCCAGACACCCTCCTCTAGCTCCCACCTCAGCTCTCTCCTCTCCTCTCGCCCCTTGCGGGGTCTTGCACAAAGACGCCTTTCACACCGCCAGCGCCACCCTCTGGGCCGCCCTCCATGCCGGCTGCGCTGTCTTTGCCCACCCGCAGCACCAACCGGATTCCGGGTGGGTAATTGTGCCAGTCGTCGCCGCAGCAGGGCAGTAGCGGGTGCGAGCGGGCTGTTCCCACTAGGCGCCTCCCCATAGGAAGCAGATAGGGTTCCCCTGCCTACAGCCTCCCCGCGCTTTCTCTAGCCGTTCTCCAGGGCCACAGAAAGCACCCCTTCCTCTCCAAAATGATCCTTGAAGGTCTCGCTAGTGTGTCTAAATATGGGGGTGGTTGGGTGGCAGGAATGGTTCTCTGGACTTTTGTCAAAATAAGGAATCCAGCGATCTGTCCTGTTCACCTGCGGAGCCAAGGCGACTTCAGTTTACAATTAAAGAAGAACCTAGGATAAAGAAGTGGAAATAACCAGAGGAGAAAGGTCCGAAAGAACCCCCTAAGAACAAGGCGAAGAGGATGTTACAAAGAAGAAGCCCACGAAATCTTTGAGGGACGACAGCCTCTTTGATCAGCGCGGAAGGCGTGGAGGGCGTATAGAAAGCGTTTTACTTTCCTCCGAAGGCTGATCTTTCAAAGTTGAAAATCAAGCCTCTGAGATATTCAGCGGCAGCTATTCAGCGCGTTCAATGCCTAGAACTACCGTGCTGCTTCTCTCAAGTCAAGGCAAATGTTCAAGCATCTTAGACGCTTAACTGATCCTCTCCAGCCTTTCTTGCCTAAAGTTTCTCCATTTAACTCTAGAGGCAGCATAGGGCAGTGTAAAGAGGGCAGGAGTGGGGATCCCAAAGAAGAGTCTAGTTCTTGTTTTCTGGGTCTGGGTCTTAGGCAACTGATATAACTAACGTCGTTGAACCTTGAGGTCAAAGAGTGTAAAGGCGCGGGAGTATGGGGGCTAGGGTTGTGGCTCGGTGGTAGAGCACTTGCCTCACATGTGTGAGGCGCTGGGTTCAATTCTCAGCACCACATATCAATAAAAATAAAAATAAAGGTCCAGCAACAAGTAAAAGACATTTAAAAGTGAAAAGGAATGTAAAGGGGCAATGGGGGAAATTCCATGAAAGGAGACTGGTCTTCCTACCCTCCACAGGTTCACTTTTGCGTTCCTACCTTGCTTTATCTCCTCCAAGTGCCAATCAACTGAAAAACAAATGCAGAAAATGTTTCAAGGTAAATGTAAGATGTATTGAAATATGCTTTAAAAAAAAACTAAGAAATAATTCAGCTCCTGGTCCACAGAAACAAGGAATTTTAATGTCCCCACTTGCTTTGCCTTTGAAAAGCCACTCCAGCAATCAGCCAAGCAGAGCTTTGATTTAGAAACTAAAGGCTAGTCTCCTGTGTTTTTCCTTTCCCTTCTACCAACACAAAGACAAGATGCGGCATAAAATAATGATGAAAAAGAGTTCAAAGCAAGCCCAGAGAACCAGCACAGAGAATGATTTCTAATGCAGTCCCAGTCCTTCACTGCTCCCCTAAACTTTGCAGAGTACGTGAATAACAAGCACAAGTTGTCAGAATCTCTTTCCCGCCCACCCATTTCCTAAACATTGTTCACCGGAACCTGGAACCTGGATGCTAACTTGTCGGTCGTCATCTAAATACATTCATGAAATCATATGTTTAATTTTTCCTTAGTTTTATAATACCTTTCAGGACTTTCAATTCATTATCCAATTTGGAACCTTGAGTCTTTGTTCTCTGGTCAAACGTGACTTATTTTGTAGAATCTTCTCTAAAACCAAGGCAAAAAAGGGTGAAATTTCATAATGAAGTATTATTTTTTAAGCTATAAATTTTTTGCTCCTTTAATTTCAACAACAAAATTTCAGAATTGCTTACCTCTCATTAGCAATGTGCAAGTTTATTCATCAAAGATAATTGTTTTTAACTGTAGAATTTTATAAGGTAGAATGTGATAATTTGACACATGTACACAGTATTAGTGATCAAATCATGGTAGCTAACATGTCCATCTCCTTATACATTTAAAAAATTCTTTGATTAATGCTAATAATTGTACATTCTTATGGGGTACAGTGTGATATTTCAACACATGTATTTAGTATGTACTGATCAAATCAATGTAATTAACATTTTCATTTCCTTTTCATTACTTTGTTTTTCTGTACCTTTTCAGTGGGGAAAAAAGTTTCTTTTAATAATAGTGGCTAAAAAATTGGAGCTTGGTATATTCTGTTGCTTTTATTTAAAAATGTTTTAAAACAGCAAATAAAAACTGTATATATTTATAGTGATATGATACTTTGAAATATTCATATATTTAGAATAGTTAAGTTGGGCTAAATTAACGGATGCATTACCCGATACATTTATCATTTTTTTTCATGTGAGAATACTTAATATGCACTCTCTTGATTATTTTCAAGAATATAATACATTGTTGTTAACTATAGTTACCATTTTGTACCATAGTCCATTGTTTTCATTTGTGTCAATCTCAACATTCCCAATGCTCTATTCAAATATGTTGAATCATTCATATGTCTAAATAGACCTTGGATGTCCCTTTAGTAAAAGGACATAGCTTGTTTTTTTTTTTTTTTCTCCCCAATTTTTTATCTTGCTCAATCCTTTACAATATACCCTCCCCAATCTTCCTTGGTTTTTCTTTCTTTTTCTACACCAACCTAAATAAAGCAAATCTCACTCTTTAGTTAAATTTACAAAATTTTTGTATAGACTATAAAGAAACTTTCTGCTGATACAGTTTATATGCACTGTGTTTTGAATGTCTAAGTAAAGGTGATAGCACTTGAGCTTTGAACAAATTCAAGTAATGTACACTTTCAGCTCTACAGTTGTCAAGGTCATGGCTTGCTTACTTTTCATATTTCGGAGTTTTTTCTTCTGCAAATTGTGGGGGTCATCTCAATTATCAAGAAACATACAGAGGGCCAGGTGTGATAGCACACATCTGGAATCCCAGCAGCTTGGGAGGCTGAAGCATGAGGATCACAAGTTCAAAGTCAGCCTCAGCAACTTAGTGAGGCCCTAACTAACTTATAGAAACCCTGACTCAAAATAAAATATATACAAACAAAGGGCTGGGATGTTGCTCAGTGGTTAAGCACCCTGGGTTTAATCCCTGGTGCCAAAAACAAACAAAAAAATTAAAATTAAAAACTGGATCCATTTTCTAGTCTTTTTGTTTTGCCTTTCTTGCATATTATGTTAAAATTCTTCTCTAAATCAATTTCAGATTGATACTCAACTTAATAATTTATTTATTTACTCATAGTGATTAAGAATCATTCTTGCTAGTCAGTTACACTTTCTAAATTTTAATAGTTCTAATAATATGGTTGGTAAGAAACAGAATATTCATAAAATAATACTAGAATAAAATGACACTTTAAATATGATTTAATAAA